TTTGTTTAAACCAGTAGTTAGACGCTCTCTTAACCTTAATTCTGTTATTCAAACCTCGGGCGTTCCATGTTGCAATGGAGAATTGTTGCATCAAAATTTAAACTAACTAACAACCACAACCCACACCCACAACAAAAAAGGGAAAAAAGGAAAAAAGATACCCTCTCACAAAAGAGGGTAGTGCCTTGGCTAGCTAACCTAAATTAGGTAGCTAGAAGGAGTGTTACAACAGACACTCCTGTAAGGACACTTAACTATACCAGGGGGGCAAAGAAAAGAGTTCAACCTGTTTCACTTTAACTGGCTCCCTCCCTCTCCCTGTAATAACTGTGTAATAATTAAACAGAAAAATATATTCTAAGAATTGTCTCCTTTTCCTAATAGATCCATTTTCCTTTACAGCCTTAATTGTATATCTTGCAATGATTATAAACCTGTAGTTTCCTGTAGTTTTGAAAACACAATGCTCTTCAATAATATTTATAAAAAAAAAGAAAAACCAACGTATATTTTTTACCATCTAACCACCTTTTAAATATCAAAGGTTTCTATCCAGTCATAAAGTCCATAAAGTTGCCTTGGCTATAAAATAGATTTAACATAAAGATATTTATTATTTCGATAAGGAAAGCAATTACTTCATTGCCAGTGTAATTAACTAGCCCAACAGTTTAGCAAATAGAACCTGGAACTATGAATTCCCAGTCTCCTTATTCACCAAAGAAGGAACATATTAAACCTGTAGATAAAACAGCATTCACCAGTCTGTTAAAATAAATATTTCAATTCTTTAAATCCTCTCTCTATACGTTGACATTCAGATATAACTACAATAACATAAAAAAAACACATATTGCATTGCATCTGCCTTCCAATTTAACTCAAAAACAATTAAATTATTTTTGTTGCAATTACCTCATTGCTGAATCATTATCCTTATAGGTATTTTTAAGCTTTTTAAACAAACATTTTTAAACTTTTCAACTTTTAAAGAACAGTCTTACAATGTTGTTCCCGTATAACCACAGTCATCAGGAACACTAACGAAGAAGGTAGAGCGAGCTCTAGAGTTGGTTGCATAAAGGCTTCCATCTTCCTTGAGAGAAGCGTGAAGGAAAAAGTCAGGTTTTTAACAGTTCTTCTTCTTCCGCTGGAGATAGCTTGATCCCTACTGCAGAAAGTAATTGTATTCCTGATGCACAATCGGTTGCTTGGTGCAGTAAGCCGTTTTTGTAGATCAAAATGTCCGAAGTTGGGGACCAGCGGAACCGAATCTTCGCTTCGTGGAGTCTGGCTGTGATATTCTTAAGGGATCTCCGTTTGAGCAGGATTTCCGGGGCTAGGTCAAGCAATACAATGATCTTTTGTTCACCATAAGCCAGAGATCCTTTTTGCTTTGCTAGTTTGAGGATTTTATCTCTGGATCGTAGGTAAATAAACTGAACTAAAATGTCTCTTGGTTTGTCTTTGCGCGCCATCGCTAACGGTCCTAGGCGTTGAGCCTTGGCTATTGCTGGTGCGACGCCATCATCGAGTTGCATTACTTTAGCTAGCCAAGTAGCCATAAAATGGGCTATATTTTGAGACTCTTCAGACCCCTCCTCGAACCCCCTAAATTTCAAATTGTACTGTCGCCACTTATTCTCAAGCGAAGTAATTCTATTTTGCATAGTCATATCAGAGTTTTGCAGGGATCGAATATCATCCTGCATAGCCGTCGCCATTTGCTTGGCTGTTTCTGCAGCTTTCGAAGCTTCAGTAACTTCTTTCGCCATATCTTGCAGGGAATTTTGTATGGGTTGGAGTAATTTAGAGACTATGGTGGACATAGAGTCAATAATGTCGTCTTTTAATGCAGCTAGGTCATTTCGAGATAGGGGGTCGGCCGGGCCGTTGGGCAGCGTATCGGGCGCCATTTTGTCAGAGTCCGGGGAGGCCGTGAGAAAGAGCTCTTCTGGAGCTATCGTTGTAAAAAACGTACGTACCGATTTTGTTCCACCTCTCTGAGTCGCAGATGGTGTTCCGGCAGCTTTATTTGTATTTTTCTTCGGCATGGAGACGTTGAAAAACTATTATAAGTAGGAATTAGGGAGAAAGGGACGGGAGCTCAGGATTCAGCCGTGCGCCATGCACCGGTAGCTCCGCCCACCCCACCATAACTGTTATTAACACTGGATCGTCGTTTCATTTTGGAAGGATGGACTGAGACACCCACCCCTTTGCAATCCCACCCCTTTGCAATCCCACCCCTTTCCCTCTGTGTCTCTCCCCAGCTCTAGGTACGCAGGGCTGGCCCCAGCATATTTTGCACCCTAGGCGAGGATCCCTTCTGGCGCCCCCCCATGCGCCCCGTCAGAGCCAGCAGGGGTGCTTTTGGCGGGGAGTGGGTGCAGTTTGGCACCCCTAAGGGCTGGGGCGCTCTAGGCGAATGCCTAGTTCGCCTAGTGAGCGAGCCGGCCCTGGGTATTTGCACTCCAAGTTGCAGTACAGACAAATGGACCACCCTCTCCCTCTTTCTCTCTTGGCCTTCCGGTGCCTTTAAGAAAGAGCTTTCTTTATCTAGCCCAGGCTAGCCCAATCTCACCAGATCTCAGAAGCTAAGCAGGTGTGGCCTTGGCTAGTATTTGGAACGGCGACTTCCAAGGAATACCAGGCTCATGACACAGAGGCAGGAAAAGGACAAACCACCTCTGAAACATCTCTTACCTTTAAAAAGTCTAGCTCGCCACCTATTGGCGCATAACGCTAAAAGAACTAGTACTTCTGGCTGACAAGACAATCTTAGACTCTCCTGGCTATTCCACAGGCAATGACAAATAAAATTATAATTATCTAAGGGGCTGCATTTATTTTAATGACTATTGACTCAGGGCTATTTTGGGTCCCGATGCTAACCTGAGGAATACTTTTATCAACATCATTTTAGTCTGCTCACTGTTCATTTTATGCTTTCCAGCCCTGGTGTGTTTCTTATGGGTTGATTGTTACTGTTTCAGTTGCGAGCTCCTTTGAGCAGGTCTCTGAAGGGGTGGCATATAAATGCCAAATATACAAAAAATAAATAAATGGGGAGATTGGAGCATGACTACAGGTGGCTAACAGAGGTCAGGAAGTTCTCACCTATGGAAGGAAAAGGTGGAAGAGTGAAGATCTCAGAACGGTGACAGAAAAAGCAGAGTGAAATGGGGGGCGGGGTGCATACCAAGAAACAATAATAGCTGAAGCTGAATTCTGAAGTACATACCTGAGGTGGCAGGAGAGCGGAAATACACAGGAGGCAGCTTTTCTTTGCAAACATGCAAGGTCACACGCTTGGTTCACTACCATTAAAAAACCTGCTGGATCCTATTCTTTTTCCCGATAACATGATATAGCAGCAGAGCAATCCTAAGTGGGTCTACTCAGAATCCTACTCAAATCAATGCAATGAGGTTTACTTCCAGGAAAGAAAAGCCAAAACATCCCTCGAGAGCAAACTGAAAGCAAGCACTAATGAAACTGAGAAGTCAGTGGTTTACTTCGACAGATGACTTCTGTCAACCAGGAGACCCTGGGTTAGACAAATTAAACCGGAGTCCAGTGGCACTTACACCAGTGTATGTTTTTCAGATGGAATACATTTTGGTCAGGAATAAATTGTGGTTAGGCTCCCAAAAGCCACTGGGCTTCTGTTTTATTGTGCTGCTATGGACTAACTTCACGACTCACCCAGGTTAGAGATTTCTAGAACAGAGCATCTGTGTAGCATCAGATCCATCCAGGCCAGCATCCTGTTTCACAAAGTGGAAACAGAAAGTGGAAATTTCCCCCAGAAATTGGGGGGAAAGGCCAGAAATTCCCGCAATTTCTGCTTGCCGGTATAACTATTCATACTGCCTCTGAACATGGAGGCTCCACTGGTGTCTATCAAAGGCTACTAGCTATAACAGCAATCCTTTATTTATTTATCTATCGAATACCCTTGTAAGGTTATAGATCAAGGTGCTCCCTCTAAGCTGCTGTCTTGTGAGCAAAAATTCTACTTGGTGAGCGACTGGCATTAAAGTTGTGGGTGAGCAATTTGGCTACTGCATCAATTAGTTTGCTCTGGAGCCATCCCTTCCTGAGCGAAGACAAAATTGCGTGAGACGGAGGCTAAAAAACTGTGAGCTAGCTCACACTAACTCAGCTTAGAGGGAACACCGGTGGGTAGCCATGTTAGTCTGTCTGTAGCAATAGAAAAGAGAAAGAGTCCACAGTCGCACCTTAGAGACTAACAAAAGTTGTGGCATGGGATGAGCTGTCGTGAGTCACAACTTACTTCTGCAGAAGTGAACAGTGACTTGTGGAAGCTCCTACTCTGCCACAAATATTGTTAGTCTTTAAGGTGCTACTGGATCCTTGCTTTTTTCCTACTTGTAAGGTTAATCATATTAGTGGCAATCCTATAACAATATTTATGTAAGGGCTGCCTGGAGTGCAAAGGAAGTGGGGAAAACACATCAGGATGGAATCATTTAGGCAAAGAGATATTGAATCCCAGAACTGCAAGACTGTGAATCTTCAAATCAAATTGTACATGTGAAGAAGAAGAGGAGGAGACTGGATTTATACCTCGCCTTTCACTCGGAGTCTCAGAGTGGCTTACAATCTCCTTCGCCTTCCCCTCCCCACAACAGACACCCTGTGTGGTAGGTGGGGCTGAGAGAGTTCTGACAGAAGCTGCTCTTTTTCAAAAACACCTTTGACGGAACTATGGCTTGCCCAAGGTCATCCAGCAGCTGCGAGTGGACGAGTGGGGAATCAGACCCAGTTCTCCCGGAGTAAAGTCTGTGCACTTAACTACTACGCCAAACTGCACACTTAACCACTTCCACAAACTGTGTGGCTAGGGTTTCAGCCTCTCCCCCACAAAGGAATCCATAACATTTCTTAAAGAGGTAATACAACTCATCCCCATTTTATAAACAAACTGAATTCCAGTGGGTTCAAAACCAAGAATGTATTGTGCCACAGGGCAATTCAAGAGATGTACAATTCTGGACTTGTTTAGCACGCAAATTCCAACCACTCAGGGAAGATTCCTACAGCTCCCCTTTCATCAGACTCCTTCAACAGGAGGCATGATTGTTCCCCCGCATGGACTTCCAGATGCTTCATAACGTAGGGCTTGCGTGTGAAGCTCTTGCCACACTTGAAGCATTTATGCAGCTTTTCCCCAGTGTGGACTCTGTTATGCAAAACCAGAGAGTAATTGCGAATGAAGCTCTTTCCACACTCCAAGCATTTGTATGGCTTCTCCCCTGTATGGATTCTTTGATGGGAAACAAGGTTAGTTTTTTGACTAAAGTTCTTCCCACACTCCAAACATGTATATGGCTTCTCCCCAGTGTGGCTTCGTCGATGGGCAATGAGGCCACCAGTCCCAGCAAAGGTCTTCCCACACTCCAAGCATTTATGAGGTTTCTCCCCTGTGTGAATTCTTTGATGAACAGTCAGATGGGCTCTTCGAACAAAGGTCTTTCCACATTCCAGACATTTATATGGTTTCTCACCTATGTGTATTTGTCGATGGGCGGTAAGATCTGCATTTAGAGCAAAGCTCTCACTACAGTCCAAGCATTTATATGGTTTTTCCCCTGTGTGGATAACTTGATGGTAAACAAGTGTTGAGTTATGCCTGAAGCTCTTTCCACAGTCCAAGCATTTATAAGCTTTCTCCCCTGTGTGGATTTCTCGATGAGCAGTAAGATCTGCTCTCTGAGAAAAGCTCTCTCCACATTCTAAGCATTTGTGTGGTTTCTCCCGACTGTGAATTCTTTGATGTTCCATAAGATGAGCCCTCCGAACAAACCTCTTTCCACACTCCACACATTTATATGGTTTCTCTCCTGTGTGGATTCGTTGATGGGCAGTAAGGGTGGCACTCTGAGAAAAGCTCTTTCCACATTCCAAGCATGGATATGGTTTCTCCCCTGTGTGGACTCTCTGGTGTACCGTGAGATGTATGCGCCGAGCAAAGCTCTTTCCGCATTCCAAACACTTATGTGGTTTCTCCCCGGTGTGGATTCCCTGATGGGCAATAAGATCTGCACTCCGAGCAAAACTCTTCCCACATTCCGTGCATTTGTACAGTTTCTCCCCTGTGTGGATTCTTTGGTGTACAGCAAGATGCGAACTCCAAAGAAAGGTCTTTCCACATTCCAAGCATTTATATGACTTTTCCCTTGTGTGGATTCTCCAGTGTGTATAAAATGCTGGTTTATACATAAATGTTTTCCCACACACAGGGCAGTTGGTCTTTTCTTGGTCTGAGGGGTTATCCCGAGTTCCAAAACCCTGAGAAGGAGAGGATTCACTTTCCTTCTTCTGTTTCATTCCCATGTTTCTCCTCTGATAGTTCCCTTTCAATGGGAGCTGCTGTTGTTCTACCTCAAGCGTCTTCTGGAGTCCATCAGTCTCTGAAATGAAGAGGGGGCAAAAGCAAAATTGGAAACTGAAATTACCGAAAGTGTCTGCCTTCTGCCACATTGTCCCCCAGTTAAGGTCTGCCTCCCAAACCCTGCTGTTTGTGACCCTATATACAGAAGCAGGTGGTCACTAGAGACGGGGCATTTTCAGTGGTGGCTCCTCATTTGTGAACAACCCCCCCCCCCGAAACACCCCCCGAAAGCCTACCTGGAACCTGTCTTACTATATTTAAAACACCAGGCCATAACATTTCTTTTCAACCCAACTTTTAACTAAGATCTTTTTTTAAAAAAGCTCTTCTGTTGCCTGCTTCTCTTCTGAGAAATGGTAATTTTGAGTGTACTCAGTGGCTGTTTCAAGTACCCAAGTTTTAAAAATTCTGGTGGGTAGCCACGTTGGTCTGAAAATGGAGAACAAAGTTTGAGCCACTGGACTCAAACCTTGCTCTTTAAAAAAAAAAATCTAATACTGATAATTTATATACTGCTTAAGGTTTTATGGTACCATTTTTATTTGCCAGATGACTTGAGTAGGCCTTTGGAGAGGCGTCGCTTAAAAACAACAACAACCTCTCTCTTGAATAAAAGCCAAGTACTGTACAAACACGATGTATAGAAAAGCCTGCATTTCGTTGTGTGTTCTAACTTCTCTTTCACATTTGAGACGGGTTTCCCAGTCATTCTCAAGCAGTTTCCTCTCAAGCAAACCTCTCTGTTCTCCAGTGGGTGAAATTTAGCCCAAAACAAGTCGCACATGTAAACACATGAAGCTGCCTTATACTGAATCATACCTTCTGGACCGTGAAGACCGGTATTGTCTACTCAGACTGGCAGCAGCTCTCCAGGGTCTCAAGCAAAGGCCTTTCACATTATCTCCTACCTCATCTTTTTAACTGGAGATAACAGGGATTGAACCTGGGACCTTCTGAATGCCAAGCAGATGCACTATCACGAAGCACCAGCCCCTCCCCAAAGTCTTACCCTTATACACCAGACAAGGAAGCAGATACCTGCTAATCTGTCACTTTTTTCTGGGTTCTGGACAAATGGATTTCCTCCTGCTTCTTCCACGGTGGAAATGGAATCAGGTTTGGGAACCAGAAGTCCTCCTTTCAGGGAAAGAAACAGATCAGGGTTTTTTTATGGAAGAGGAGAGGCCTACTGATTGGATCCAAAAGTATTCATCTGCTGATCCTGCTGGTGGCCCAAAGCGGAGAAGGAAGCAGGGAACGTCAGCACAGGGAAGCCCTAGCCTAGACAGACACCCCAGGATACGGGCTCTTAACCCCTTCAGGGGCAAGAAGGACTCAACACTCCCAGTTTGACACCATCCAATGCTGATCTGCCGAAGGTCCACTGCCCGTTCAAGGGACCCCACAATCCTACCAGGAGGGGAGAGGGCGGTGATGGATCCCAACTCCTACTAACAATCTGAACATTCATTGTAACACTTATTCATCTAGTTCCTCTACTGAGGACCTTTTTTAAAAAACCACCCTTCCTTGAGAGGGGCTTAAAGAGAGCCAGTTTGGTGTAGTGGCTAAGTGCGCGGACTCTAATCTGGGAGAACCGTGTTTGATTCCCCACTCCTCCACTTGCAGCTGCTGGATGACCTTGGGCAAGCCGTAGTTCTGGCACAGCTGTTCTTGAAAAAGAGCAGTTTCTGTCAGAGCTCTCTCAGCCCCACCTACCTCACAGGTGTCTGTTGTAGGGAGGGGAAGGGAAAGGAGTTTGTAAGCCACTCTGAGACACCTTTGGGTAGTGAAGGGCAGGATATAAATCCAATCTCTTCTCTTCTTCTTCTTTAAACTGCATTTTTTCCCAGCCTACTACCTTTCTGACAGGACCTGTTTCTTTCATTTTCATAGCACCCTGACAGAGACGAACTTGGTAGACAAAACTCTTCATAACTAAATCACCACCTGCTTAAACCCTGTTTTACTTGGTTCATTCTTTTTTTTAAATATATGCGAGTGTGTGTGCACCTGGAAGTCATGGCGACCTCTGGTGACTGACCCCTACTGGGGGCCTTCAGGATATTCAGAGAGGTGGCTGAATAAAGCCTGCCCCCACCTCCCGCTTCTGGTATTCCAAGGAGGTCTCCCATCCTACTACTACTACTACTACTACTACTACTACTACTAATATACTTTATTGTCATTGTACATAGTACAACGAAATTAAAGGTGCAATCATTTCAGTGATCTACAGCCATACTCATATACACTCACACAACCATTCACAACCATCCCATAACTCCCTTAAGGTTCACATTGCAATTTAAACCACCAATGTCACCCAAATTCCAATTTCATACAGCATTTAAAGCAATAATAGCTCTCGAATAAAAACTGTTTTTTAATCTGTTTGTCCTTGATTTAATTGTCCTATATCTTCTACCCGAAGGCAGCAGTTCAAACAGGGAGTGTTCAGGGTGTGACAAATCCTGCAGAATGTTCTTTGCTTTTTTCAAGCATCGAGAACTATACAATTCCTCCAGGAATGGGAGAGGGCAGCCAATAATCTTCTGGGCTGTGATGAGTCGACCCTGCTTAGATTCTGAAATCTGACGAGATTGGGCTTGCCTGGGCTATCCAAGTCAGGGCCTCTTGGCTCATTCCTGAGGGCTCTGCTACCTCATTGTCCTATATGTGTGGACCAGGCCTAAGTAGAAGACCCCCAAGTTAATCCCCTCCCTCCACAGTTTTCCTTCTCATGTCCAGTGGGAGACTGTAAGGTCCTCAAAGCAAAGAAATGTCCTCTCTGCCTTTGCAAAGCACACATTCAGGGCCCGATGTTATTATATCGGTATCATTTCAAATGCTAGTTTCCTTGGCTGCTCTGGAAGGCCCATAAAAAGGGCCCCCTTTGACATCCCATAAACTGTTATGGGGGCCAATCGCCCTCCCTCCCTGCTTTCAGTGGATTTTCACCTGCACTCAAGATTTTGTGCCTCTGAAGAAAAATGAACCTGCTCAGTCCCCAACAGGCAACTGTGGAGTGAGGTGAGGCAAGGTCCTTCAAGTTGACAAACCAAAATTTGGACAGTTCCGCTACACATGCAGAAATACCTCCCTTGCCTGAGTCCACCCAATCCACTTCCCTACTGAAAATCTCTATGGGAAGACCATTGTGAGACCTCTACTTAGAAGGAGAAATTTCTGCCTTCAGCATCTGTAAACGAAGGCAAAGGGGAGTCTTACCCAGAGCGGCCACATTCTGACAATTCTCCGCCATGACTTCCTTGTGAAGCCTTCTTTGGCATTGATCCAGCAAGGCCCACTCCTCCTCAGTGAAATGAACAGACACCTCCTCCAAGGTCACCAGGCCCTGAAAAGAGAAAAAAGGAACCCCTGTATCCAGTTTGGTGTCGTGGTTAAGTGCGCGGACTCTAATCTGGGAGAACCGGGTTTGATTCCCCACTCCTCCACTTGCACCTGCTGATGTGACCTTGGGTCAGTCACAAGCTCTGGCACAGCTGTCCTTGAAAAAGAGCAGTTTCCATCAGAACTCTCTCAGCCCCACCTGCCTCACAGGGTGTCTGTTGTGGGGAGGGGAAGGGAAAGGAGTTTGTAAGCCGTTCTGAGACACCTTTGGGTAGTGAAGGGCGGGGTATAAATCCAATTTCTTCTCTTTCTTCTTCTTAATGTAATAATCCTTCCCCTTTTAAGGGCAATCCAAATGGTTTTCAGTTCTGGGCACCACAATTTAAGATGGATATAGACAAACTGGAATGTGTCCAGAGGAGGGCAGTGAAGGTGGTGAGGGGTCTGGAGACCGTCCTATGAGGAAAGTATGTTTACCCTGGAAAGGAGACAACTGAGAGGTGATATGATAACCATCTACAAATACTTGAAGAGCTGTCATAGAGAGGATGGTACCGAGTTGTTTTCTGTTGCCCCAGAAGGTCAGATCAGAGCCAACGGGTTGAAATTAAATCAGAAGAGTTATCGGCTAAACATTAGGAAGAACTTCCTGAAGGTTAGAGCAGTTCCTCAGTGGAACAGGCTTCCTCGGGAGGTGGTGGGCTCTCCTTCTTTGGAGGTTTTCAAACGGAGGCTAGATGGCCATCTGACAGCAATGCTGATTCTGTCAACTTAGGCACATCATGTGAGGGAGGGCAGGAAGGGTTGCCTCAGTGCTTAGTTCTTGTGGCCCTTTCTTACACACCCAGGGAAATGCTGATTGCCACTTTGGGGTCAGGAAGCAATCCTGGAGGGTTTTTTTGTCATCTTCTGGGCGTGGAACAGCGATCACTGGGGGCGTGGAGGGGGAGATATTTGTGAATTTCCTGCATTATGCAGGGGGTTGGACTAGATGACCCTGGAGGTCCCTTCCAACTCTATGATTCTATGGTTTATCATTAGATCTTGACTTTCAAGATTCAAACCTCCATCAGATGTTTCATTTTTCTATCTAGCAAGCAACGCAGACAACAGCCAAAGGAATAAAGACAGAGAGATTCTTCCCAGCTTAGGGAGGGTTTGGGGGACACCAAGGGGCATGATCTACACTTCCGCATTTACCTCATCTGGCTGCACAGAAGCTGCTTTCTCACTGCCGTTAAGAGATGACAAATAATATATTGTTGTTTCCATGGCGCCCTCTGGAAGGATAAGGAGGTAATTGTTAAGGCATTCTATATTTTCCAAGTATTTAGCATTTCAGTCCCTTGGGTTTGTGAGGGGGGAAACATCCTCCCTCTCTTGGCTCATGGTCACAATTATCCTTGCATCGTTATTTCAGATGATTCTTTCCTTCCATACGTTTGCAAAATAAAAACTTGCTACGGTCATCGTACACAAAATCATGGCTTGTTTGCCCGACGGTACAGAACTGACACAATTAAGAAGGAAGAACTCTGAAACGCAATGAACAGGCAGTTCAAAACCCAATGACAGAACTGCAGCTCCC